ATGTGAATTAAAAGACATTTTTTTCAGACAAACCATCCAAAATTCACTTTTGCACAGGTCTACTTATCCACACAAACATATAACTTCCCATAGGTACATGCCACATACATTAAAGCGGCATTGTCAAGCCAAAATTGCCTTTTTGTAATTGATTCCTCTTCTCTCCCTCTGTCAGGATCTGTTCTTCATTTCTTCCTGTCTGCTCTAGTTTTCTTTAAAACATAAAACAAAGTAGGAACTACATAAATACCGAATTTCATCCTAACAGAATGATAAGTTTGTTCATTCATGTTAGGGCAATTAGGGACTTTGTTCTGATCAGAATTTTATTCTAATAAATGAAACTCCAATCCTATTCATGCCGCGGCTGCATCTTGCAGCTGGTTAGTAGATAATTGTCAACCCACCTGACCCCCACCCTTGAGCGGCAGGGGGGGGCCCTAAATAACAATAAGGGGGGGGGGGTATTGCCCTCCCCCTCGACCCCCATCCCTGAGCGATGGGTGGGGTCCCTAAATTGCGATAAGGGGTGGCGGGTGGGACCCTAAATAACAATAAGTTCTCCCCCCGGCACCCACCCAGAGTGCTCTGTGTCATTTTACACAGCATGGGAAAGTTCTTTGGAATTTTCCCATGCTTTGTAATTTGACTCATATCACTGTGATTGGTTGATTGAAAGCAACCAAATTACAAAGCATGGGAAAATTCCAAAGAACTTTCCCATGCTGTGTAAAATGACACAGAGCACTCTGGGTGGGGACTGGGGGGGATAACTTATTGTTATTTAGGGCCCCAACCGCCGCCCCTAGGTAGGTAGGTAGGTCTTAGGGACAGGGGGGCCCCTCTTATTGTAATTTAGGGCTCCCCACCTGCCGCTCATGGGTGGGTGCCGGGGGGAGGACAATAGGACCCCCCTTACTGTTATTTAGGGCCCCCATCTGCTGCTCAGGGGTGGGGGCCAAGGGGGAGGACAATATGTTCCCCCCTTATTGTTATTAAGGGCTCCCACACGCCGCTCAAGGGTGGGGGCTGGCGGGAGGACAATAGGTCCTCTTATTGTAATTTAGGGCCCCCATCTGCCGCTCAGGGGTGGGGGGTGGAGGGGGCAATAGGTCCCTTCCATTTTCATTTTGGGCCCCACATGCTGCTCAGGGGTGAGGACTGGGGGAAGGACAATAGGTCCCCCACTACATTTTCATTAAGGGCCCCCACCTGCTGCTCATGGGTGGGGGCCAGGGGAAGGACAATAGGTCACCCCCCCTACATTTTCATTTAGGGCCCCCCCACGGCGCTCATGAGTGTGGACCAGTATACTTTTATAGCCCCCCACCATGGTGCATTTTTATTGGGGGGGGTGCTTTTTTTCTTTTTTACAACAGTAAACAACCACTGGCTGCTCACTGTTTAGTAGAGATTTTAACCTCCCTTATGCTATTATGGGGGTCATATTGACCCCCATAGACTGAGGGAGGACATGGAGGGCTTAGGAAGTGGTGGGGAGCACTGCTCTCTGCCGCTTCTATTTTTACATATTACAAAGAGGGAGCTGCGCGCCATTTATTCTTCTTTCTGACAAACGAATAGATGAAATTCCTGTTCGCATGTCCAAGTGTTTAACTTGACATGCGCAGGAATTTCACAGCGCAATTAGTTG